ATAAACAGAATACGAACCATAAGTAACAATACACAAGCACCAGAAGAGAGACTAGATAACAGGGAGCTCCTAAAAATCAAACACTTATGCTCATCAAAAGACTTCACCAAAAGATTCAAAAGACAACCTACAGACTGGGAAAAAAATTTTGACTACGACAAATCCAATCAGCGTCTGATCTCTAAAATCTACAAGATACTGCGAAACCTAAACAACAAAAAGACAAATAACCCAATTAAAAAATGAGTACAGGATATGAACAGGCACTTTGCCAAAGAAGATATTCAGGCGGCTAACAGACACATGAAGAAATGCTCACGATCATTAGCCATTGGAGAAATGCAGATCTAAACTACGATGAGATATTGTATTAATCCAAAAAAACAAGGCTAGCAACAAGGCTAGCATTAATCCAAAAAAACACAAAGTAATAAATGCTGGAGAGGTTGTGGAGAGACTGGAACATTTATACATTGTTGGTGGGAATGTAAAATGGTACAACCACTTTGGAAATCAATTTGGTGCTTCCTTAAAAAGCTAGAAATAGAAGTACCATATGATTTAGCTATCCAGCTTCTTGAAATACATCCTAGAGAAATGAGTCATCACACGAATAGATATATGCACACTCATGTTTATTGCAGCACTGTTCACAATAGCAAGAAGATGGAAACCACCTAGGTGCCCATCAACGGACTAATGGATAAACAAATTGTGGTATATCCCCACAATGGAATACTACACAAGAATAAAGAACAACGATGAAGCTGTGAAACATCTTATAACATGGAGAAATCTGGAGGGCATTATGTTGCGTGAATTTAGTCAGTCACAGAAGAGCAAATATTGTATAAGACCACTATTATAAGAACTCCAGAAAAGGTTTAAACACAGAAGAAAGCATTCTTTGATGGTTGCGAGGGTGGGGAGGGAGGGTAAGGGTTATTCACTAGGTTGAGAGTAGACAAGAATTATCTTAGGTGAAGGGAGGGACAACTTACACTACAGGGGAAGTCAGCACAACTGGACTAAACCAAAGCTAAGAAGTTTCCTGAATACCATCAAACACTTTGAGGGACAGAGTAGCATGAGTTGGGGTGTGGGAACCATGGTTTCAGGAGACATCTAGGTCAGTTGGCATAACAAAGTTTATTAAGAAAATGTTCCGCATCCTACTTTGGTGAGTGGCGTCTGGGGTCTTAGAAGCTTGCAAGCGGCCATCTAAGATGCATCAGTTGGTCCCAACCACCTAGAGCAAAGGAGAATGAAGAACCCCAAGACACAAGGAAAGTATTAGCCCAAGAGACAGAAAGGGCCACATAAACCAGAGACTTCATCAGCCTGAGACCAGAAGAACTAGATGGTGCCCATCTACCACCAATGACTGCCCTGACAGGGAACACAACAGAGTCCCTGATGGAGCAGGAGAAGGGTGGGGTGCAGAATTGAAATTCTAGTAAGAAGACCAGACTTAATGGTCTGACTGAAACTGGAGGAACCCCAGAGAGCATGGCCCCCAGATTCTCTGTCAGCCCAGAACTAAAACAGTTTCCAGGGCCAACTCTTCAGACAGGGATTGGACTGGACTGTGGGACATAAAGTGATACTCGTGAGGAGTGTGTCTCTTAGCTCAAGTAGATACAACAAATGGGCAGCTTCTGTCTGGAGGTGAGATGGGAAGGCAGAGAGGGTTAGGAGCTGGTTGAGTGGACATGGGGAATTGGGTGGAAGAGAGAAGTGTGCTGTCACAGTATGGGGAGAGCAGTTAGGGTCACATAACAATGTATGTATAAAGTTTTGTATGAGAGACTAACTTGAAATGTAAACTTCATTTAAACTACAACAATTAAAAAAAAAAAGAAAAAGGCAGATCTTGGAGACTAAAAATAAATAATTAAAAATAATAAAAATTCAGTCTTACTAGTAATTAAACAATGCAGATTAAAACAAGATTCCATCTTGTCCAACGAATTGTCAGTGTTGGTGAGAATGTGAACTGATACATGCATTCAGGAGAACTATTTGGAATCATGCAGCAGGAAGTTTAAAAATATTCGTACCCTTTGATCCAGTCAGTATTCTATTTATGAATATTCTAAGGACAGAATCGTGACACAAAGATACTCGTACAAGGATGTTTATTGTATCATTGTTCCTACCAGGAAAAAAAGAAATTTATTAAATAACTAATAAATGGTGGCATATTTATGGAATGGAATTATGCTTTTATTCGGTATTTTAAGGCTTGGAAAGATGCTTGTATTTGAGATTTTATATATACACCTATACATTATATATATAAATATATCTAAATCTAATGTTATTTAAAATGTAAAGCTAGGCATTAAAATAAAAAAAAGAAAACCCACTGCGGTCGAGTGAATTCTGACTCATAGTGACTCTATAGGACAGAGTAGAACTGCTCCAGAGGGTCTTTATGGAAGCCAACTGCCACAGCTTTCTCTCACTGAGCGGCTGGTGGGTTCGAACTGCCGACGTTTTGGTTAGCTGCTGAGTGCTTTAACCACTGTGACTTCTTCTAAAGCTATGTGTAGAAAGATAAAAACCAAACAAATAATCCTGCTGCCATCGAGTCAGTTCCAGCTCAAGGCGACCCCATGTGTTACAGAGTAGAACTGCTCCATAGGATTTTCTTGGCTGTAATCTTTATGAAAGCAGATTTCTAGGCCTTTCTTCTGCAACACAGCTGGGTGGGTTCAAACTGCCAACCTTTAGGTTAGTCGAGCGCAAACCGTTTGCACCACCCATGGATCTGCATAGAAATACAGTTTCCAGTAATTATACCAAAATGCTAACAGTGATCAGCCCTTCCTGGTGATGAGACTGTGACTTTATTTTTCGCCTGTTCTGTAACCCATTGCTGTCTAGTCAATTCCGACTCGTAGTGACTGTGTAGGAGAGGGTAGAACTGCCCCATAGGGTTTCCACGAAACGGCTGGTGGATTTGAACTTCCGATCTTTTGGTTAGCAGCCAAGCTCTTAACCACTGCACCACCAGGGGTCCCCCTATTCTGTATTCCTAAATTTTCTATAACAAATGTTTATTATTTCTAATAGAATCAGTGTATTAAAAAACAAAACAAAATAAAACAAAACACCGTTGTTCTGGTAATAAAGTTAGAAACATGTTAGTATAAAAAAAAAAAAAAATGCCAAAACACACTGTGTGTTCTGAATTGGTGCATAGCACAGAACAAAAAAGTGTGTGAGAATATGTACATGCGTCAGGTTAAAAGTTCCCCAGACAGCCTCTCAAGCTGTCTAGTTCAAAAGCAGATCATCTGAAAACCTCTGTTGGCATTTTACAGATGTTGGCGAACTGGGAACTAGCCCTTGTAGAGGCCTGAAAATCAGCCTAAGGTGGTACTTTTTCTATGTCTTACATTCAGTGCCTTTTGCTTATCTTTGGGAGGGTTTTAAAAAGTGGCTGTGTTCATCCTTTTACTCTGATATGCAGTACCTATAGTAAAATGCTGACAAGCAGTAAATGTATTTCACGTGTAAGGAGTGATTCTTTGGTATTCCCATGATTTGTTTTATCTTCTGGTGGTATGGGTTTGGTATTTGTATCACTGATTATCTTTCTGGTCTTATAGTAACCTTGTTTTCCTTTCATATGAAAATGTATTATGCTATATTTAAATGATACATTGTAAATTAATGACTGATTCAACAAAGATGTTAATCTTTTTTATATTTTACATTTTAAATTATTGACGTCAAACTCTTATCTTGTGTCTTAGCTGTCCAGACTACGCTCAAGTTTACATACAGTGAAAAATACCCAGATGACGCTCCCCTTTATGAAATATTCTCCCAGGAAAATCTAACAGATATTGATGTCTCAGACATTTTAAAATTATTAGCATTACAGGTAAGGAAATAACATTTTATGTTTTCTAGTGGCGTTATTTTATTGGCTTTAAATATTATACAGTAGTTTCAAGGGTCAGAAAATTTTATCAAATATGTGTAACCAGTACTTTGGACAAACAGAACTCACTATGTATAATCAAAAAGCATCTTTATTTTTGTCCTTCACTGTCCCTTTAACATTATAGTAAGCGAAGTCCCCCTTCCCACCTCTCCCATCCCCCCACCCTGCCTGTGGTTGAAACTCAGTTGGCCTCGTGACTTTTCTGCTCACTCTTAGGTCATAAAATGTCTGACAGATAACTGTTGCACATACAGTTTTAATTTTGTTCTTAGAGTGTCTAGTCCCATGTATAGTTAAAAATTCCAATTGTGTTATTAAAACTCCTACTCCCATCTGACCTGTAGTGGGCTAGTTGCCTGCAATGTAAGAAAAGGACAGGTGGTTGATTTTTTTTTTTTCTTCCCCTACGTCTTCTCTCAGTTTACAAACAGCAACCGTGGTTTCTGGCCCCTACAAGACTGGGGAAGATTGTGTAGGAGAATAAATAGGTATAGGAAAGTTTTTACTTGACTGGTTTTATGGTGGGAAGCTGACTCTTGCTTTGATGGATAGCTTTCATGGATTCTTCAGAGCAGCCACCACTCCCTGCTTCCACACACACTGGCTTATTGATCGCCAGCAGTTCTACTTGTTCTATCACCAGAGCAGCCAACTAGCCTGTCTCACCTGAAGCTGATGTCTCAGATGGGAGTCAGGCAGCAGTCTCCTCTGTCTACCTAACCATGGGGCCACATACCAAGTTCTGGGTAGTCCTTGACTTGAAGATAAGGGCGCTATTCCCACCACTTCAGATAGGTGGAGGGTGAAACCTATAGCATATTCATAGCTCTTGCTAGAGATCTTCCTACAAATCCTCTCTGTTTACAATCTGGACCCTTTACATCCTTGCTGTGGGTGAAGGGTTTTTAGAGTTATGTAACTGGTTTGGGGATATTTTATTTGAAAATTTATGCCTGGTGCTTCACTTTGGAATGCCATGTCCATTTTATATTGGTGCCTCAGTCAAAATTTCTAATTTATCATACATGTGTTACATATGTTTTGTATGGATAATGCTGCAAGTTTTATGTTTTGGTAATTTTTTTGCATCTAAGTAGATTTAATTTAGTTTTTTTTTTTTTTTTAGTAAAGTATTATAGACACACAGTTTTAAAAAGACGAGGAGTGCTAAAAGACCACAACAAAAAAATCTGTCATCGCCATGTGTGCCCCCCTTTTCCCCAGACCTCGTTTAGTCTTCGTACTCAGTGACAACCTTTTCCAACTCTTACTTCTTCTGGTATTTACTTTCATATCTCTAAATAAAATATGTATCCTGCTATTTCTTGATTAAACAATTTTAGTCATTATCTATTATGGCAGAATAAAGATTTTAGTTTTCTAATATAACTGTAATATCCCCCAGCCCCCTTCTCTCATTCTTGCATTAAAACTTATAGTGCAGTTTTTGGTTAAATCTCTTCAGTGTTTTTATAATTATGATTGCATAAATAAAAATGTCTGTTGCTGAGCCAGTTAGTTTGCTGTGATTGCGTTTCGTTTCTTGAAACATTTTATGTTTTTTCCTAGGGTTCAACAATTGCCTCGTTTTTTCATTTGAACTGAATCTTTTCACATAATCCAGTAGCCTGTCATTGCAAGTTTTCATAGAGCCAAACCTGTCTGATAGCCAGCTAGTCCTACTTCTTTTATGGGTCCACCCCTGCTAGAGCCTTCGGTCTTGATTTCAGTACAGTTGTTGACCCGTTTACCTTCATTTTGACAATTCATCTCTCCTCCCTTGGATTTCTTGTTTCCTGGATCTCATGCTGTCTTTCTTTGTTTACTCCTTCTCCAGTAGCTCCCTGAAAAGGAGTATACAGGAGAACAGTTTTTTGAAGTTTTGTATGTCTCAAAAAAAAAAAAAAAGTGACTGTGTGTAGAGTTCTTGCTTGGAAATTGTATTTCCTCCTCATTTTGAAGGCCTTGCCCTAGCTTTCACAGTTGCTGTTATAAGATGTCTGTTTCTATTCTGATTCTCAATGCACTGTATGCAGTCTTTTTTTCTCTTAATGAAAGCTTTTATGATTTTTTCCTTGTCCTTAGTGTTCTGAAAACTTTTGATAGTGTGCCTTGTTGTGGATCCGTTTTTATTCATTGCACAGAATGCATTCAATCTAGGAAATTAAATGTGTTTCATTTCTGGGAAATTTTCATGTATATATTTATAATTTTCTTCCCTCCATTTTCTTTGTTCTCTCTGGAATTTCTATTAATTGTGTGTTGGATTGCCTGTCCAGCTTAGAAGTGTTTTCTGTAATCCAAGGACGACTGTCCTTCTGAATATTGGCCTTCTAAAAAACATCTAGAGCTATTAGAAGATGAGGAGTGAAATAGGATACAGCAGTCAGGAATTTAAACTGATCTTGGGTACCTGTTCACTATGAAATTACACTAATTCTAACATCATTTGGTTTAACATGTTCTGTTTTAAACATTGCAGAGAATCTGGGAAGATTATGCACACATTAATGTAAATTATTCAATCTGACTGAATTTTTTCATGTGTTTAATATTTTATTTATATTCTAATTCTTTTCTTTCAAAAAGACAGTTTTTATTTCTTTCTGACACCTACCTAAGATTAGATGTTTTGAGGGAATATTTGTACTTTTTCTCCAGTAATATTTGTGTTAGTTTTCAATTATACAAATAAAATCATTTTGCAGAACACTCAGACAATGAAGAAAATCATGAAAAAAAAAAGTAAAGATTACTTTTAATCCCCCAGCCAGGTATAATTGTCCATTAACATTTTGGTGTGTTTATATCCTAGAATATTTTTCTTATCCTTGTATACATAGTCCCATTTCCTACTCAAAATTGGATCATTCTGTACATAAAATTTCATAGCCTGCTTTTTTCACAGAACAGTATATTATTGGCCTCTTTTACTTAAAAAAAAAAAAAAAAAGAAACAGTAAATACACATATCCTTTTAAAAACAACTTATAATTTTTTCTCATTTTTGATTGATTCAATACATAATTCTTTGAAAACGTCATTACTTGTAAGTCCTTAGAGCAGGGTCTCTATTGAATCCTTAGTACCTGGTACATAGTAAACACACAAATATTTGCTGAATAAATGAGTGAATTACTGATGGGTGTACTAGTCCATGCCTGGAGCTCTGGTGGCGCAGTGGTTAAGAGCTAAGGCTGCTAACCAAAAGGTCAGCAGTTCGAATCCACCAGCCGTTCTTTGGAAACCCTACGGGGCATTTCTGCTCTGTCCTGTAGGGTCGTTATGAGTTGGAATTGACACAGTGGCAACAGGTTTTTGGTTTTTTGTACTAGGTGAATGTTTTCTAGAAGTAGGATTGCTGGATTATAGGGTATGCATACTTAAGAACTTCGTATACTCCGACCTGTGAGTTTGACCTGCAGCATAGTGGTGCCTTTTTTTTTTTTTTTTTTTAATTGTACTTCAGGTGAAGGCTTACAGAACAGATAGTTTCTCATGAAACAGTGGTACACATATTGTTTTATGACATTGGTTAACAATCCCACAACATGTCAACCCTCTAACTTCTCAACCTATTTTTTTTGGTGAAAATACACATAGCCAAAGAAACACCATTTCAAAAATTACTACATGCACAGTTCAGTGACATTGACTACG